GCGTTAAGAGTTGAATGGAAAATTGGTAGCTCAGATCTGAAAGTGGGGATTTATTTGTTGCCTCTAATTTCAGATCTTATTAGAGGGGCAGAAAAGACGGAAATGGTGGCTGGGTTTTCGGCACTGAAAATGGGCAATCATGTGAGTCACAATCTGAAACACGCTTTGCACCACGAAAACCACTCGAAATCGTCAAACAAGAAGCCGCACGAGCCGCCCCACAAGAAGAAGCAGACTCTCGGCATTCTCGCTTTCGAAGTCGCCAACGTGATGTCCAAGATTATTCACCTCCACAAATCCCTCTCCGAAAACGAGATCCTCACCCTTAAAACCAACATCTTCAGCTCAGAGGGCGTCAAAACCCTCATCTCCAGCGACGAAAAACAGCTCCTCGAGCTCGCCCTCGAGGAAAAACTCGATGATTTAAACTCTGTCGCTAGTGTAGTTTCCAGATTAGGCAAAAAATGCACTTTACCCGCCCTTCAGGGCTTTGAGCATGTTTATGGGGACATAATCTCTGGGTCTATTGATACTAAGGAGCTCACTTTCTTGGTTAAGGACATGGAAAGCATGATTCGGAAAATGGAGAGGCTCGTGAACTCGACCACTAATTTGTACTCGGAGATGGAGGTTATGAACGAGCTCGAGTCCGCCACAAGGAAGTTTCAGCACAACCATCACCAGGAAAGCTGGAAAGCCTTCGAGCAGAAGCTGACGTGGCAAAAGCAAGATGTGGGCCACTTGAAGGATATTTCCCTCTGGGGGCAGACCTATGATAAGGTCGTCGAGCTTTTGGCCCGAACTGTATGTACAGTGTACGTCCGAATTCACTCTTTGTTCGGAGATTTCCACTCGGGAGGTGATATTTGTAATAATTCATCGGTTTGTAGGTCTCAGGTAGGTTTTAGCAGTAGCTTTAGACGGGCGAATAATGTTGTTAGCAAGGACTCTGGTAATTTGAAGAAACCAATTTCATCGAAGAATAATAACAATGGGCATCATCAGCGAAGAGGGGCAGTTTCGGGATTTCACGAAAATTTAGGGGTTCCCTTTCGTCCGGAGCACTTAGGCCCGGCGTGTTGCTCGGTTCCGGGGAGAATGTTCTTGGAGTGCTTGAGTTTAAATCATTCCATTTCGAAAGTCGATTATGATGACGATGATCACGATCATGATCATGCTACTTACCATTGTGAAAGCAGCCGGATTTCGGGCTTTCTGAGCGCGACAAGTGGCATGACGACGACGACCGGGCTTTCGGGTTTGCTTCTTCACGCCACCAGTCGCGACCACACCACCCCCAGGGGCAATTCGGTCAATTCGTCAAAATTCGGGCCCAAAGGACGGCTAATGGGCCACGCGGCCCCGAGTTCAGTCGGGGCCTCGGCCCTCGCCTTGCACTACGCCAACATAATCATTGTTCTCGAGAAATTCCTAAAATACCCTCACCTTGTAGGGGATGAGGCCAGGGACGATCTTTACAGGATGCTTCCAACGAGCATGAGAAGGGCAGTGAGGGTGAGTTTGAAGAGCTATGCGAATGACGTGGCGATTTACGATGGGCATATCGCGCACGGGTGGCGGGAGAGGCTCGAGAGGACACTCGGGTGGCTGGGAGCTCTGGCACACAACACGATGAGGTGGCAGAGCGAACGGAATCTGGAGCAGCAGCAGATGGTGAAGCGGACGAACGTGCTTCTTGTCCAGACGTTGTATTTTGCAGATCGGGAGAAAACTGAGGGGGTTATCTGTGAGGTGATTGAGGGGTTGAATTATATATGTAGGTATGAGCAGCAGCAGAATGCGTTGGCGGATGGGGGAAGTAGTTTCGATTTCGAGGAGTGTATGGAGTGGCAAATGCAGTTCAGGGGTTCGTATGATTCTTGATT